ATTAATATTCCATATACACTGCTCTTTGCAATAATGGACCAGCAAGTTTAGACGGGTTTAAACTAGTGGTAGGATTCCTCCCGTGAAAGTCCCACCTAACGTATAGACACATCTACTTAATGTTGAACATATAGTTAGGTAAAAAAAGTGGTTAGCGTAGCTAGTCTTATAGTAATATATGTACTAGGCAGTGTTAAACTGCAGATTAACTGTAGAGACATAAAGGGTATTCATATATCAACCGATTTCCAGTTAGTTTGTAGAGACACTTGGTGTCTGTCTGGATATTAAATATATTAATAAAGATGTGCATGTTTCACTTTAAAAAAAAAAAATAATAATAATAATATACATATACTGTATGTTTAATATTATATAGTGATAGTGATTATAATTAATTTGTGATTATAAAAAGGTAATTTAATAATAATAAAATCTATTTTAAAAAAATGAATGCTTATAAAGAGGTGTGACTATATAGAGTATGCTTATATAGAGGTTTGACTGTAGTTTTATCTTACAATTTTGAAAATAAGTATCTCAATTTAATAATAATATCTTGGAGTATCTGTATTGATAGACTATTTCTTTATAGATGAAATCAATGACATTTTATGTGATAGCAGTTTTTATAGTTCAAGCTTCTAACTATTTGATCATATAGTTAGTTACTACAATGATATGTTAATTTCTTTATGGGGTTACAAATAAAGATTCTATTATAGAAAGACCTCTCTAAATACACTCTCTATAAATATACTTACTATATTTTCTCTTTCTAAATATACAATCAAGCTTGGTCCCAAGTACATAGAACTTTTAATAAAATTATCTCCATAAATACACACCTTCTATAAATATATATTTTTCAAAAATTTTCTTATAGTTCTAAGAAGTGTGCATTTAGAGAGGGTTCATTGTATATTTATTTCAACTTAATGAAAAGATAACTTGATTGATATTGAATAATAAAGTCTGGTGATTTACTTTCTTTCTTGATATTAATATGAGTTACAGGTTTGTATATAAACTCAAATATCCTTATACATCTATGGTTAATAATATAGATCTTTAATCTTGTTGAACATTTTATCTTTTCCCAGATGTTTCTCTAACAGATAAGTATATATTAGGTATAATACTAAATTGAATTTGTATTTCTGTAGCACTTATAGGAGTCATCTCCTCATTCTTTTGTCTTTTTTATATAACATTCTATTTTTACTAATAAAGAAATGGTTTTTTAATTATAGATCACATTGCTAATAAGATGTAAGTGTTTTTGATAACTGTTGATATTGTAAAAAATTATTAAGATAATGATAATATATCAAATCCATTTTTTTTTCAATAAAATCTGCCAGGACACCGACTATCTGATCTGGATTTTAGCTTTACATCAGATTTTTTTTTTGTGTCTTGATCTGGTCATATAATATAATATTATTTGATGGGTTATATGTATATCTTAGAAATTAAATTTCCATGAGTTAATTATGATTGCTTCATTCAGAAATTGGAATAATGCAATATTGATATCTTAATTAAGTGGGCCTTGAGAGTGTCAAATGTATGTTGCTGTTCTTTTTTCCATTCATATGATTCATTTTCATGTAATAACTGATATAGCGGTTATATAATAATTAATAAACTTTTATATTAAGTATTAATAATATGAGGCTAATATGATAAGTCCCTAAGTTGTCATAGGTTTTTAAGAGTCAGGAAGTCTCATACTTTTAAAATTTTTGCTTTATCAAGTCTAATTTCTTCTTTTCTTACTACATGTTTTAAAAAGATGATCATTGGTAAGAAGAAATGGTATTTTTCTAAATTAAGCCTTAAATTAGTACTTTATAACTTCTCAAATATTTTTTTCAAGTGTTCTACATGTTTATTTCCAGTTTGTAAGTAAATAATAATATTGTCAAGATATATTGCTATGAAGTTTCTGATATATTCATATAGAATCATATTCATTAGTCACTAGAATGTTGCAAAAGCATTGCACAATCTGAATAGCATTACTTTAAATCCATATATTTCAAATTTAGTGATGAATAATATTTTTTGGTCTTTCTTTTTTATAGCTACTTGCTAATAACTATTGGCAAAGTCTAAGTTAGAGAATATTTTGGCATTTCTAAATATTTCCAACAAGTTGTCAATTCTTGAAAGAGAATAAGCATTCTATTTTATTACCATATTTAATTTTCAGTAATCAATGTATAGATATTTCTTTCCATTTTTTTTTGAGACTATAATAATAGAAAAAACCTATAGGCTAATAGATGCTTGAATTAGGTCCTGTTCTTCCATTTGTTTCAGTTCATTCTTCACATATTTGCTTTTATTTGATAACATTTTATATGCATTCTGCTTGATCAGTTTGACATCTTTAATATCAATTGTATGTTGAATGATACTTGTTCATCCTAATCCTTCAAGGCCTTTGATAAAAAGGTCTTCTTTATTCTTGAATAGTTCTTATATATTATCCTTGTCTTTTGCTTTAAGTTTGGTATTTCTCTCTATTAGGTTTTTAATTTATTTTATTATGATTAGTTCAAGTTCATTGTCACATTCTAATGTAGGAACCTTCTTCACATTAGTAAGGTATATCGCCAGACTTTCCATTTCTTTTCAAGGGTTCTCATATAGTTTTTTATTTAAAAGCATATTGCCAATATAGTAACTATCTTTTTCATCTATCTTTTTTTCTTTATCAAATAGGTCAATTCCTATGCTTTTTAGATCACTTTTGGATTCTAAGAGAGACTCTGTATCATGATAGAAAATCAGTACTTCTATGGCTTTTTTTTGCATATCGTAAATATAGTTTTTTTTTATTAAAGTGCATTCTAGTCTTAGACTTCTGGAACCAATCTATTTTTAGTAGTAATATTTTGTCTCTTGATTTTACAACTTGTAGGTCGATAGGGATTCCTATCTTTTGAACTGAAATCTCTATATTCTTAACTTTTCTTAGCATTTTCTTCTGAACCCTTGTTACAGTAACAACTACTGTATTTAATTTTTCATTGATTCAAGGATTCAACTTATTTAATAGTTTCTTTGAAATTAGACCAACAGCTGCACCAGTATTCAAAATAATTATTACAGGTTGTTGATTAATGTGGATATAACATTAGAAAGCTGTTGTTTATTTTTCTGAATTATAAGTAATATAATTAATTTCTTGAGATTGTTATACCAGTCTCTTCAAGATTTTGATTGGATTTATGTGCTGGTTTGGATATTTTAGCAGTTGTCTCAATGTAATGTTTGATTTTAGAGCAAGAATGTCATTGGCTATGTTGTATAATATCAGTGAGTTTACTATAAATAGTTTTTTTTTTTTATGCAACTTAAGAATTTTTTTCAAGTCTAAGTCCATTGATTCATCTTTATAGATTTCTACTTCTATTGATAGTATCCTATCTGATTTTCTTCTCTCTTTGCTTACCATTGTCTGAATAATCTATTCTTCTTTTGGGTGGTCTTTTATTTTTCAAATTATATTGATATTATATATCTTATTATATTCTTTGAATTTGTAGTCATCATTTTCTTCTATTTTATAATGTTTAACACTCTTTGGTTGTCTTAAGTATTCTTGGTTATTAGCCAGTCTCTTGTCACAATATCTGGCAATATGTTCATACTCCCTGTATTGGAAGTATTTGTTGTTTCATCTTGGTTTAGTCATAGATTATCAGTCTCTATTATCAATGGTTGGTTTTATCACTGTATAGTTTAAGATAATTTCTTGTATCCCTTTTGCAATGTTACCTAGTTCATCCTCTAGTTTTTTGCATTATTGTTTTCCAGGTGTTTGTTTTTTGTAGTATTTGCTGGCTTCTATTTGTTTTGCTGTGAAGATGGCTTTTTTTAATGTATTTGATAAAGTTACAGCAACAAATATTGTCATGTTCTCTTTTAATCTATTCAAAAATATTCATATTATATAATTGAGTGATAATCCTTCCTTAAGATTAATACATATCAATAATTTTTTGAATTTAGTAGCATACAAGTTTACTTTCTTTTTTTCTTCTTGTACTAAGTCATTTAACTTTTTCTACCATTAATGCTGTTTTCTGAGATCACGAAGTACTTAATCAACAAGTGATAAAAACTTTTGTCATTTCATTCTTCATTATTTTATTCTTTAATGTTACCTTTATGCTCTCTATACCAGTCTATGGCTAATCCATTCAGGTATCCAGGTGCAATCTGAAGTTTCCGTTTATTAGTCTAGTTGTTTGTATTTGTTATTCTTTCAAATTCTTCCATCCATTTGATTGAATTATCATCTTCTCTATCAGTGAAGATCCTAATCTTCACATAATTCATCTCTTGAGTCCTGGGTTTTCCTCTTGTAATATGTTCTAGCAGCCAAGTTATTTCTTTCAAAAATAATTGAAACTGTTTGTTATCCATAGTTGTGATCCTTTTGTACTTAATGGCAATTTTTTTTTTTTTAGGTTTGTTGTTCACAAAAAAAATAGAAGGTGATAATATGCTGTTGCTATGTTGCAATCGCCAATTGTATAATGTCAAAAGAGGTGTGGAGATGTGGTATAAGGTAAGTAAAAGTATTATATAGTAATCTGAGTTTTATGGTAAAAGAACAGTTTTTATTGTTGCTTTGTCTCTTGTACATTTCTCTCTTTATATACATGTTAGAAAATTCCAAAAATCCCTCAAGCCCCAATTAAACCCTAATTGGGTGAGGATGACATATGTCAAATTTATCTAATTTTTTTGCCCCTCTTACAATATTTCACTTACCTTTAGTCGCATAAATATAAAACTAATAAAGCAGCCAACTTACTGTTTTCTGATTTAATAATATTTAACTTTAATTTTAATAATAACAATATTTTAAAATAAGTTAGATTAAGAACCAATCGAGTCTAAACCTAAAAATAGATCGAAAATTAAATGCACATTATAATATAGTATACAATGTCCTGTAAACTTTTACATACAGTATATCATTGTTTTTTAAGATTTAAATTTTTAATATTTTGTGAGGAAACGATTCCATTATTTGCCAAATCGTTTTCTGATAAGTCTTCGAAAATATTATCCTGATTGGCTTGTAAGGCTTCTGGATTGCAGTGGTATACCGGTCCATTCTTTCTAAAGATATTTTGAATTTGATTTTCTGCAATTATTATAGAAAACGAAAATCTCAACCTTTTTGGGAGCTTTATTACACGCCGGAAAGGGATAATTTTAATTAATCCTGAAATAAAGTGATCATTATATTCTAAAGTTAATGTCGCCCTAACTTCAAATTTTTTTACATCCTTGTATCCAATGCAAGCTGTGTGTACCGGCGCCTCAGAATAATTGGGAAGCCTTCTTTCCTAAATTTAAATATATTCATTAAATTATTTAATAAAGTTATAATGTTATAATATATTTTTTTAATAAAGTTATAATGTTATAATATATTTTTTTAATAATACCTCATTTCTTAGATCATGTTCCCATAAAATATTTGGGAACCCTAGATTAGGATTGGTAATGCGAACGGAAGAAACTTTCTCATTTATTGTTATCTCTTTATTTGAATTTACTGTAAGATTAGGGTTAATTCCATTAACTCCTGCCGTTGTGCCAACATTTTTTGTCTCGATTCGATTCTGTATAACATTCATTTCACCGCTCGGAGAGTTTAGATTGATAGAAGTAATTAATCTAGATAATATTTTTGGGGATAAATCTTGCTTTGGTTCTAAAATAACTTCAGCTTTGATAGGGTAATATCCTTCACCCTTGAGATTAGAAATTTTAGATGATAGCATCTCCCCACCTGAAAAGATTATGTCAAAGATCTCAAATTTTAAACTTTTTAATTCGTCATTTGTACTCTTTAGACGCTGCATTTTCAATTTAAATTGTATATAAGCCGCTTGGCCAAATTGATCACTGTTATTGTTAGACGTGATATGAACATTAGCACTTGCATAAATAACTCCATAGGGCATTGTACTATTCGTGTCACTCGGATCACCATCGTCACCATCGTCATCACCACCTTCTTTTTCCTTGCCTTTGTTATTTTTGTTTAATCGATTTTCATTTTCATCATTACCTTTCTGACTTTCGTTGGTAGCGCCCTCATTATCTTTATTATATTCCTTGACTTCATTAGGATCATTTTCATTACCTTTATTTTCTCCTTCGTTCTTATCAGAATTATTTTCTCTTTCTCTATTATTCTCTTCCTTTTCTAAGCCAAAATTTCTACTGGGATTATTATTACTTCGCTCGGCACTATTATTGGGTTTATCCTCGTCGAATAATTGACAAATAACAATATCTTCTGGTGGTCGTTGTAATATTTCAAAGAAATTTTCAATGGTTTGTTCAGAGAGTTCAGATAATATATTGACATAAAGAATGATGGAGGGCTCCTGATATGACTTTACAAAGGTAATTCCTATTCCAATCGCACTGGTTGGAAGAATATTAAAAATTTCTTCTTCGTGCAACCGCAATAATTCCAATAATTCAACATCAGATTGTCTGTTACCTTCTACTTCACAATAAACTTCTAAACCTGGTATGTTTACTTTCTTTTGGTCATTGATCTTAGTATCATAGGTAATTCTTAAACAATTGTCTAAAAAGTCTTGCTCTGCAGGATAAAAATTTTCTTTAACATTGGATTGACCAAGTGATGATGCCAGTGAATCTTGTTTTATAGTTGAAACTGGATTATTCTCATCAGATTGTTTAACTTTATTGTTATTTAATTTGTTCTTAATTGAAAATTTGGCCAAAGTAGAGTTATTACGTACAACATCATATAGTGCCTCTTCTATCGAATTACTTATCACATTTCCATAAATGTACAAACTGGTCAGGGTAGTATTGTTGCTTAGAGCCTCAACTAGCGCTATTCCTGTCAATTCTCCTATACTATTACAACTCATATCCAACTCGGTCAGGGTGGTATTCTTGCATAGTGCCTCAGCCAGTGCTTTTCCTGCCGACTCTCCTATACTATTATAACCCATATCTAACTCGGTCAGGGTGGTATTCTTGCATAGTGCCTCAGCCAGCGCTTTTCCTGCCGATTCTCCTAAATAGCAACTTTTTAAATTCAAATTAGTTAGGGTGGTATTCTTGCATAGTGCCTCGGCTAGTTCTTTTCCTGCCGATTCGCCTATTTTGTTTTTATACAAATTTAAATTAGTTAGGGTAATATTCTTGCATAGTGCCTCAGCCAGTGCTTTTCCTGCCGACTCTCCTATACTATTACAACCTATATCTAAATTGGTCAGGGTGGTATTCTTGCATAGTGTCTCAGCTAGTGCTTTTCCTGCCAATTCTCCTATACTATTACAACCCATATCTAACTCAGTCAGGGTGATATTCTTGCATAGTGCCTCAGCCAGCGCTTTTCCTGCCGATTCTCCTAAATTGCAACTTTGTAAATTCAAATTAGTCAGGGTGCTATTCTTGCGCAGAGCCTCAGCCAGCGCTTTTCCTACTGATCCTCCTATTTCATTGTTATACAAGTTCAAATTAGTCAGGGTGTTATTCTTGCATAGAGCCTCAGCCAGTGCTTTTCCCGCCGATTTTCCTATATAATTATCGCTTATATTTAATACAGTCAGGGTGGTATTCTTGCATAGAGCCTCAGCCAGTGCTTTCCCTGCCGATTCTCCTATTTTGTTTTTATACAAATTCAAATTAGTCAGGGTGGTATTCTTGCATAGAGCCTCAGCCAGTGCGTTTCCTGCCAATTCTCCTATGCTATTACATCCCATATCTAACTCGGTCAGGGTGATATTCTTGCATAGAGCCTCAGCCAGCGCTTTTCCTGCCAATTCTCCTATTTTATTGTTATACGAATTCAAATTTGTCAGAGTGGTATTCTTGCATAGAGACTCAGCCAGTGCTTTTCCTGCCGATTCTCCTAAATTGTTATGCCGCAAATTCAAATTTGTCAGAGTGGTATTCTTGCATAGTGCCTCGGCCAGTGCCTTTCCTGCCGATCCTCCTAAATTGTTATGCTGCAAATTCAAATTTGTCAGAGTGGTATTCTTGCATAGAGACTCAGCCAGTGCTTTTCCTGCCAATTCTCCTAAGTTGCAACTTCGTAAATTCAAACTAGTCAAGGTGGTATTCTTGTATAGAGCCTTAGCCAGTGCTTTTCCTGTCGATTCTCCTATATTATTATCACTTAAATTTAATACAGTCAGGGTGGTATTCTCGCATAGAGCATCAGCCAGTGCTTTTCCTACCGATTCTCCTATACTATTCCAACTCATATCTAACTCGGTCAGGGTGCTATTCTTGCATAGAGCCTCAGTCAGTGCTTTTCCTGCGGATTCTCCTATATTGTTATCACTTATATTTACTACGGTCAGAGTGGTATTCTTGCATAGTGCCTCAGCCAGTGCTTTTCCTGCCGATTTTCCTAAATTGAAACCCTGTAAATTCAAATAAGTTTGGGTGGTATTTTTGTATAAAGCCTCAGCTAGTGCTATTTCTATTGATTCGCCCAAACCACTGTATTTTGTATTCAAATCCGTCAGGAGGGTATTCGTGCCTGAAGTTTTATCACATGGTTGATAATGCAAACTTGAATCGATCGAAGTGCTATTCTCACGAAAGGCATTAATCAATGCTATTATTTTAGAAATATACTGTGTGGGTAAAATATATCATCGAATTAAATAAGTTAAATGTACCACAAATAAAAGGATATTACTTACAATAACGTTGGAAATCATTATAAATACCTTTTCAAAACTCTTAATATCCATCGTTAATGATACAGATTCAGAATTAGCGTCCACATCTATCTTAATATTCAAGGCTTTTACATACATATCAAACTCTTTTGTTAACTCATAAAAAGTGGTCTCAATTGATTTTCCCGTGAAATAGGTTCTTAAATGTGACAGTTCATCGATGAACTTTTCCATATCATAAATATTATTCAAAAGTTGCTGCATTGTTAAATAACTCTCATGACTATAAAATTCCCGCGTTGTGAAATGGTTCTCTTGAATATAAAATTGCTTTTTTTTATAAAATTTCATATTTTTATAAGATTCATCATCTTCATTCATTCGAATTCTCAACATATCTCTCAATTTAAACTCGACAGAATCAACCCTGTGTATCAGAGCATTACATACTTGTCGATTGTACTCCGCGAATTCGTATAAATCTCTCATTTTCTTATAAGCCTGATGTATTTCGTCGACAATCGTGACGAATGATTTTAGACTTATTTCTTTGGACATACTGAAAGATTATTTTATCATGAAGGTGAAGTCACCAACTAAAATGATTTCAATACTTCAACGTTAAGTTTTCATTTTGTAACACTTTGGATAATTAAAAAGGACGACATTTTGAGTTAGCGTAATATGGATAGTTCTTTTTCTAAGGTATTTTTCATATATATACAGTCAACTCTCGATAAACGGATGGTTACACAACGATGGCGATTCTATTACTGTATAAACAACATAAATTCAAGTTTTTATTATTCTCACCAGGTATATTGTGACACGCCAGATAGTCCTGTGAAACAGTTCAGCCCAAATTTGGCAATAATAAAAAAACAAAAGAATTTTTTTTTTATCTATTAATACTTTGTAATATTTTTTCTAAATTTTTTAACTGCGATTTTTACAAGATTTTGATAACTAAACTATCGATTTTAAATAATTCTTATGAAAAATTAAATATTCAACTTCACTAATTGATAATAATAAATATTAACAAATTTTATATTCATTTTAAAGATTTTAAATTAGGTTCATATTTAAACTTTAAACACTTATGATATTCAAAGAATTAATATATTGCCATCTTAAAAAATATGATTATTATATTTATTAAGATTTTTAATAACAATAAAAAATCATCAAAAACTTTTTATATGATTAATTGCAGTTTATTATTTATTAATTCCAATTGATAGATTTAAATCATTATAGTAAAGCATTTTCAAATTATTATATCTTTTTAATCGGATTTTTTTTTAATAAATAAATATTTTTTTTTATTTAATTTGTATAATAAAAAATATCTCAAAAAAAAATCTCTCTTATTTATATATAAAATAAGCTAAATACCAACTTATTTATAAAAACCAGTTGACTAATATTGAAAAAAAAATTTTAAACAATATATCTTGTCAAATAGTATCAAATATTTATAGATATTACTTAAAATTAAATAATAAATTAAAATAAATAGAAATTGGTTATAAGATACAATTAAAAAAATTATAATTATATTAAATAAAGGTATTTAATATTATAAATAATAAATTAATAAAGATTATATCTTGAAATAAGCTTATTGAAAAAAGGTTTAATTAAATTTAAATATTTGAAATTAATTTTAAAACTGTTAAAAAAATTACCAATATTATTTTTTCAACTTAATTCTAATAAATAAAAAAGTATTAACTATACTGCAATAAAATTTTCAAATAAGATTATATATTTGAATTAATGCTTCAATTAATATTTTAATTCAATTATTAAAGTTTACAATAGAAAAAATATTATTAATAATACTACAGTGAATTGTCAAAGGTTTATGGACACTTATTTTTTTAATTGTACAATATTTATTTTAATAATTATAATTAATTTTTTTATAAAAATATAATTACATATTTATTTAATATTTCCAATTAAAAAAATTTTTTAATAAAAATAAAAATAAAATTTTTTATTTATTTTATATTTTTCTCTTTAAATTTCATGTAATCACTAATATGAGCATGAAAAAAGAACCAACACCCAAACAAAAATCGGCTATAATTTATGGTTTTCAAAAAAAAGATTCATATCACCCTATTGCAGCTCACATTGGATGTAAAAAATCAGTCATGGATAACATTATAAATAAGTTTATTAAAACCAGATCTATGGAACCACGACCCCAAACTGGATGACCATAATTTCTCAACAATCGCACTTGTATCACTCTTAAAAAACTTATCGCTAATAAAAAAAATCAGTTTTTGTACAATACAGAATTAATAAACCTTTTTACATCAAAAACAAAAATTAAAGTATCTGAAAGGATGATTCGTCAAACTTTACATCATAAGAAGTTAAAATCTCATGTTGCTCATCCTAAACCATTTGTCTCTGAAAAGAATATTAAAGAAAAGTTTACTTGGTATCTTGAGCGTAAAGATTGATCTATTTATGACTTCAAAAAGGTAATCTGAAGCGACGAATTGACATTCTCTCAATTTCAACAAGGAAACAAAAGCCATGTATGGTGTACTTCACATGAGAAGTGGGATGTCGACTGTTTTTCTGCTATAATTAGTCATAGCCCAAGTTAAAAGCATTGGGATGTTTCTCGTGGTTCGGCATTGACCCTCTTATTTTCCTTGATATGTTAGTTACAGGTAAGAAAAAATAAAAATAAAAAAATAAAAAGAAATGAAAACGAAAAAAAAAAAAGAAAAAAAAAACGAAAAAAAATGAAAAAAAATGAAAATGAAAAAAAAAAGAAAATAAATGAATTTTTTTTTTTATTATTTTTTTTAGGAAAATCCTACATCAAAACTCTTGAGGAGAATCTTTTGTCAACTCTTCGTGATTTTTTTACATTGAATTAAATTGATACAAATCGGCCTTGGTTTCAACATGACAATGTAAGACTGCATATTGCAAAAAGCACAAAAAAGTTTTTTGCTGAAAAAAATATTAAGGTTATGAACTGGCCTTCGCAAAGCCCAGATCTTAACCCTATTGAAAATCTCTGGCATACGATGAAATGTCGTCTTAAAAAAGGTACACCTAAACCTTAAAACTTAACAAAACTCGAGCAACATGTTAAAAGGTGTTGGGATGAGATAAATTTAGAAGATTGTCAGTGATTAATCAAAAGTATGCAGCGTCATATTATGGCTTGCATTGCAACTAGGGGAGGACCAACGAAATATTGATTATTTAAGTAAAATTTTAAATATAGTTAACATGTATATATTCTATCATATAAAAATTTTTTTTTTATTTAAAAAACTTTTTTACTGAGTTTTAAAAAATGTCCATAAACTTTTGACAATCCATTATATATATAAGTTTTATTATTGTTATATAATATATAAATTTTAAATTTTAATTATTATCAAAATAAAAAATATAATTAATAAAATTTATAATTTAATCAATTTTTTTAAATGCTGTTGAATATTTTAAAATATATTATATATTTTTTATATAAAGTTTATATTTTAAATAAAATTAAAAAATACAATAAAAATTAATAAATAAATTTGATAATTATTAATTTGAATTTAAGTTAATATATATTACTTTGATAGTTTTTTGTTATAATATTTATTTATTTCAAAAAAAAAAACTCTTTTCTGATCATACAAAACTACCAAATTAGGAAATACCCAAGAAAACAAAAATTTCGTCTCAAGGAAAAAACAAGGAGAAGGGAGGCCCTCCTCCCAAACCTCTCAACCCAAATCATGAATATACTCTTCTTGATATAGTCCTCGCTGATAATAAACAAAGGCTTCCTAAAGTCTCAATAATCTACAAAAACAA